TATTTCAGACTTAATCGTAAATCCGAATCTAGTACACACTAATTGAGCTAATATTAATATACTATTAATAATATATTATTAATAGTACTAACGTTATTAATATTATACAATATGTCATTATTATATGAATATTATTACACTCTAATCTAATTATTACACTAATTGAAATAATACTACGTGAAATAATTAATATTTGATATGCGATAAATGCGACAGTTTATTAAACCAAATCTCCAAAAAGATCACTGATTTAACTATTGTACTTTTAATGAAGTTGCACACACAAATTGCACAGAAAGAACAATTTTGCTGAAATATCTAAGAATTTAGGTAAATATAGATGTGAAAATAATTTTGTCGGATCATAAAAATAATTATGTAGGAAACTCAAACATGATGAACAATGCTGTAAAGAGTTTTGAAATTCTGGCAATCAATTAGAGTGTTCTGGACCCGGAGAAAGATTTCTTCGATACAAAGAAATGTTTCTTTGCTATAGTTGAAAAAAAATTCCTTTAATTTGAATGTTATTTCTTTCATTTGAACATTATTTTTTGAAATCAAACAAAAAATTTATTTGATTTATAATAGGATATCTATCTAAGTTTTTATAATATTTCAGCAAAATTTTTATGATAATTTTTTCCTCACTGAAAAAATGTATTAAATGTTAATAAATCATTTGTTTGAATAACTAAATATTTATTAATATAATATAAATATAAAGATATATTTGTTCTTTAAATTCTTTGAAATGGAATCTCACTTTAAAGAGTGAAAATTGAGCCAGTCTTGAAAAAGAGTGGCTCAATTTTCAATCTTTAAGAGTCACGTTTCATTCTTCAGAATAAAACTTTAAAAGTTTTAAAGAATATTTGATATAAGAACTATTAATTTGATTTAATTATCATTTTTTTATTGAATAAATATTTATTTACTATAACTGAATGTTTAATTGGCGTTATTATTCAAATAAATATTTATTAAAATTAAGCATTTTTTTCAGTGCATGTTATAATATCAGTATATAATAAAATAAGACATACATGACAGCAGCCATGAGATCGGAGATCAATCGTGTCCTCATTTCGAGAAAGTAACGGCAGATACGGGCACAGTAGATTTTGATCCGTTCTCAGCACATAGAAGCGTCGATCCTGAAATATAGCGATATGATGTATAACAGCAATATTTAAAGCATTATAATATACTTACATAAGCATGCATGCATATATGTGTAACAAGTGGAAACTTTAACGAAACGGTTGCGAGGATTTTTCGGGCGCGAGAGATTCGCTTTTATCCAGTAACAATCGTGGTAAAATGCAATTGTTAATGTGAAAACTGTGACATAAGTCTGTCATGGCGCGCTTCGTTACTGATCGTGATTCTTGAAATATCGAAGCGGCGAATCAATCGAAACGATCGATTTCTTTCGACAGCGTTTCATAAAAATGACCGTAAAGTCTTGTGTCCATAATGTTCAAAATCGATTCAAAATCTCGCATGAAGAAAAAATGGATCAATCACATTGTAACAGAATCATTTGTAATAGAATTATTCAAATGTAATTTATTAATTTTTCCTCTGTCCAAGGAAATCCTGATTTTAGATCGATTTCTGATATCATAGAGGTATGTTTATGTTGCTTGAAAAAAAAAATGGCACTTAAAGCGAGATAATTCGAGCGTTGAAGAGACACACTTATAGAAAAATCATGTTTAAATTAAAGAAATCATTTCTTTCGTTGATTTGTTTAAATTAAAGTGAAAATCTTTGAAAAAAATAAAATTTACTTGATTTCAAGAAATGACGTTCAAAGCACAGAAAAATTTATTCAGCATCAAGAAATAAAATTTAAATCAAAGAAACTTTTCTTTAACCGTATAACAATGCACAAATTCCTTTGATTCAAATAATTTTTTTGAATCAAAGAAACTTTTCTCTGATTGCAGAAAGCGAATATCCTGAATGCAAAAAATGTTCGCAACTCAAATAGATCTAAGGCTTAATATATTTCAAAAAAAAAAATGAAGAAGTGTAAATCGACATGAATATAGTTAAATCGTTTAACATAGATATAAAATTTAAAAACGTGCAGAATAGTCAAAAAGAGTAACAAATTACAAAAAAAAGAGTAACGAATTGCAAAAAACGTAATTACAGAATGATTTTATATATATATATATATACCTAGAGATGATTCCGTTTTTTATAATTTACAATTGGGAAAGTAATGGCGTCTGATCGGCGAAGATTTTGGATAGTCAATATTGAGATCGTTACATATTGGCACATAATGACTATTGCATGAGGTACGCATATATGCACATACGTATGTATATACAGCCGACACTTCGCGGAACAAAAAAAGAATCTTTCGCGCGCGAGATTCACTTTTGAACGGTAAAAGAATTGATGAGTACGAAACGATAAAAGCGCGTCGCGAAACGTTCCGTTACTCACTGTGGTTCGAGAATCGCAATATCGAATATCGCGATTCTCGATATGGCGGACCAATCGCAATTTGTAATAATTGCGAAATCGATAGAATTTGAATTCACAATCTAATGCGATTTCTATATACTGTATATATAAAAATATATATAAAATATTTTATATATATGTATATATAAGAATATATACAAAATATTTATATATGTGTATA